AAGCTCCCGCTTCGGCGTCTATTTGGCAAAGGGGTGCAACGTACAGTGTTTTTAAGCTTTTTATATATTGTTTATATTTTAAATAATTAAAATTGAATTTAAACTCAATAAAGCAGATAATGAAACAAAAAGACAATGACAATCGTACACGCCAAGTGTGCCGGGTTCTTTGCCTCAGTTTCGTGTACATTATTGTTGTGATGATTGTCGTGCTGTCTAAAACGAAATGAGGTCGTTCATGAGACAAACTAAAAATGGATTTAAAAAGTTGATCGCTGATATCAAAATGTCAATGACCTGCGCTGTGCGCTTGTCAATCAGTTTAGCGGCCTTCAGCTTCTAAATGAGTCCCTTAAGCGTGAGTAATCCGCTGTTTGTGATCCGCCTCAGCTTGCTCAGCTGACATTGGCCGCTCATATCTCTGCCTTAATTCTCAGTACAAATGAGCAATTGTCTGATATGTCCTTCGTGGCATCGCTTCAAGTGATACCGCGGGTGAATACCCCAACAGGGTATTCAGAACATCATATACAGAACATCAGTCTAGTACCGTAAAGAAAAAAGTTTGAAAACCAGTTGGAGTGAAACTTCTACATATTAGAACCACTGACTACATATAAGAACCTTCCACCTCGTCCACTAATTCAATATCGTATCAGAATACTAGGGGGCTACGTAGCTTTACAGCTTTACCTGGGGGGCTTTACAGAAACTTCGTTAAAGCTAGGACCACTTTTAGACGTGAATGACCTCTACGAAGGGAGGGTGTAGTCCTCATTTCGGAAAACTCTCAACTTGCTTCTGAAAAGGTAAAATCACAAGAGTGACCGATAAGATCTTTTCCACCTCTGCTTACGTTTGAAATTCATCTGCGACCTCGGATCAGGTTGCCGATCTATTCCTAACATTTTTTTTAACAACGTCTAAAACGACAGATTAGTCTTACGCATACAACATTCAATCAAAAAATCTTATTTTCTGTCCGTCTTTCTCTGAGAATAGCATATTTCTGATCTTCTAAAGGTCAAACCCGTTTATTTGCCAGTCCCCGATAGAGTACCAGGCTGTGTGCTAAAATACTTAGCCAGGGGTCTGTGCAAATCTCTACGTAGAATTTTCAACTTATCGTTGGAAACTTCGATTTTTTCCTTTAAGTGAATGAAATCTTTAATCATTCCGTTACATAAAAGATGGAAAAGTTCCGACGCTGACAACTTCAGAGGCATCTTTAAATTTTCGACAATTCCAAAGTTATTTGAAAAATTAATTACTCCTCATTTGCAATTTACTGAAGTTGACATCCTGTGTCATAGATGGCTTTCGAAAGGGATTTTAAACTGAAAAGGGATGTTATTTACACAGACCTCAGTAAAGCATTTGTTACAGTCAATCACTTGCTCATATTGCGTAAACTGAATTTTATGGGATTTACACAGCCCTCCCCACGTGAAAGTTTTTCTAAAAGTATACATTCCCGTTTGGTTCGTGCTACATCTGGGGTCCCTCAAAGAATTCATCTTGGCCCGATACTGTTTACTCTTTTTATTAACAACTTGCCCCTGCTTTAATGAACTCTCTAGTTCTTATGAATGCAGATGATGTTAGGCTTTGTTTTTAATACAAATCCATCTCTGTCCAATGCAATCTTCATTCTGTTCTTGAAAATTTCAAAAATGGTGTTTAGAAAATTATTTAATACTTAAAGGATCAAAATGAAAGCTTAAGTCTTTTTATTGTTTCTGCCCAGGCTATGTTTTCTATCTATGGGATTGCCTTAGAAAAATGATTTCAGATTAATGATCTCGCTGTCACATTAGGCTCCAAATTTAAATTAGCCACAACGGTTAATGATAAATCCACAATGGTTAATAAGGCTAAAAGTGACCTTCTTTTCATTAAAAGGTGGTCAAAAGAAATGAACGACCCATATATAACTAAAAGCTTATTCATTTTTTTGGTCCGTCCGATACTGGAGTACGGTTCCTGTGTCTGGAGTCCCCAATATGGAGTACATCAGGACACAAAAAAAATAAATACAAAAAAAATGCTGTAACATTTTCACTTAGAGGTCTTAACTGGGATGCCAATCTTCATCTTCCATCTTATAGTAGCAGACTCCTACTAATAAACTTACCAAGTTTAACTAATCGTAGGATAAATGCTGGGTGTAGTTTGCTACATAACCTTATCAATGGGGATTCAATAGAAGAACTAGAAACTTTAGTCATCTATTCCTTAACTATTGTAGTTCGACATATGCACAGCACGTCCTTTTTAGGTTCCTATGTTCGAACTAAAAGGGTCTCTACTCTATACCATCCCTTTCTGTCGTTTAAATTTAAAATCAAGTATTTAAATTTCTTTACTTACTCCTCCTAGATTGATTAATAACCAATAGTTTAATAAATACTAATAAATCGGTCGTCTGGGCTTTATGATCTCTAAGCTTTAATGCAGGAGTGCAGGAATTCTAAAAGACCGCGAAAAAAACGGAGCTATAAACGGAGATATATGGAGCCTAAAAATATGTTGTTAATAATATGCTTTTAAATGAATAACTTTTAAACGTTTTACCCTCTTTATTAAAGTGTAACTAATTTGATTTAATCGTATTAACGTTTATGTGAGTACTTGTCGTAAGTGTGAGTCCTTGTTATGTCAAAATGTCCAAAATGAGAGCCAACTACGGCCAATTCTTATGTTTATTACACTTTTTATGTGGAATGTCAGTCCCTAGGAGACGTCTATTAGCTATTTGGCTAGCAAAAGTGTTCAATAGCATACGACCCATACCACAGCCATTAGGAAACAAGATAATCTTAAGTGGCAAAAGCCCATAGCAAGATATATCATCGTCATCGACCCATTTCTGTTTCAATACCATAACGCAAAGAGATTTCCGGGGGCTGGACTCCATGATACGCTGACCAGAATATCAAACAGCCACAGGGAAACTTCGTTGATAATGAAGCAGTAACTGGATTCAACGCTAAGTATCATTATCAAAAAAGTATATACAACAAAAAAAGTTCTTCCAGGATTTAATGCATCGTCTGAAAACGAACTCAATATCGATCAATTAGTTAAAGGTGTAGGGAACCTTAAAAAGTTTATGATTTTTTTATAATAATCTTATATTTGCTCATTAGCCAAATAGGCTTGGTGAGCTCCACTGGGTAGGTTCTCACAAACAAGTTTTCTTAAGACAATTATGCTTAGTATCGTCGCCGATGCTTTTTGTGAGATACCGAAATGCAAACGTAAGCCTACCTAAACCTACCGTCGGATCACACTCCATCCACCAAAATTTAACGAGTAATTGGCACTTTGACTCTCAGTCTCCAATTCGCCATTCTGATTCACCTTATGCGTTGAGGGCTGTGACTAACTGGAGAAAAACACTACTTTAAAAGTATTAAAATTAAACACCGTTTCGTATGCTTAGTATTAAGCGTACCGTTTTCTTAGCTAGCTTGGATTAAGTTATTTACTCAAGTGGATCTAGGAATGAGTTATCAGCTAAAGGATCCTTTGAATTGATATGAAAGTCCGCCACTTGGATTCGTCATCTAATATTACACCCAGATCGTTACCCTCAGGTCAATTTTTTCATGCACACCCCAAAGTATTTCGTCTTCAAAGTAGTAACATTAAAGTTTCTACTAGCCTCTACTTAATGATTCAACTTATTTTGCATTCCAGCGAGCGGCGCGGCTTCGGAACGTACATTTTCAAACGAAAGAAATTTAATTACAGAAAAGCGTTGTCCAATAACCAATAATCCGGAAAATTGGCCCAAAAACCATAGTGCTTTGCTTCCCATGGGTGAAGGAGGAGATCCAGAGAAGCAGTGGAAGTACATCCAGAGACTACACAACCACCCCAAAGAGTTGGCGACCACTCTCCTCGACAACAGCGAACAGATGCGGCGGCTGCGCAGAACTCACCCGCTGGACCTCATCGGGAATAACTCTTAGACGTTCTTATTTTTCCACCTCTAACTTAAGTTACATGTTTTAATGTTTTAAAAGTAAAATGTTTTTTATAAAAACACTAACTGTGGTTTTTTTTTTCAAGATAGAAGCTTGTGACTTTTTCCTAGATTATGTAATGTAACAAATTGGTGATAAATTGGAATTATGATACTCTTATTAGGGTAGACCAACTATATCCGATGTTTGCGATATATATCTGGTTTTAAATGCAAGGGTAACTTCGGCTCCGCCCGAAGTTAACTTTCCTTTTTTGTTTTGGTTTTGGTTAAAAATATAACTTTAGAGTACTTTTTTAAGTTTTATTTAAACCATAATAATAAGTTACTTTTAAATTTTTATAATAAAAATTTAATTTCAATTAATAATAAATTTCCTTATTTTCTAAAATAAAAATTATTTCGTTTTTAAATTTTTTATAAAAGTTTAAAATAAAAGTTATTTGGTAATTTTTTGTAGCTGAATGAAAATATTTTCGTACCTTAGTATGGTATTTAATAATATATTGTCTATATATTTGTGATCTATGTTTCTATAACTTTTAAATGATGCATAAATTATCCTTTCAGGACTTACAAGGACTGTTTTCAATTTATGGAGATATTTTTTTCATTTGAATGTCAATAGCATAGGAAACAATTATCAAAAAAACCCTGATAAGACTGATAAGAAAGGTGGAAGAGCGAAAATAGGAGCCAGTCATAAAACGTGCAAAAGGGAGTTTATGCGGGTTTTTTTTTGGTTTTTTCTTTCTAACTTTTAGAATTCATCTTTTACGATATTGTTTCTTTTTCGCATTTGTTATGAATAAAATGGTTACCATAAAAACATTTACTTTGCTTAATTACCTCGTACCGTTTAGTTTTTATGGGCGACGAAAGTCAGTTTTGTGAACATGCACTCACTTTTGCTCGCCACTGTAGATGCTCCTAATAAGTTATTTTTAATTGAAACTTACTCATTTAAAATGAAAAAACAACGCTTTAATTTTAATAGAGCTCTACTTACACTCATTTTATTAAAAAAATTTTACACCACAACCGCAGACAACTAAAACAAATTAAATTAGCAAATCTTTTAAACAATTGTTATTAATCTTCACACCTTTACAAAATTTAGTAGTATAATACAACTATTACGATGTTAAAAAATACTTTTTATGAGGTGATGTATTATACTGATCCGAATAAACATGAAGAATAAATGTTTTCTATCCCATATTGCAATAAATGCACATTTATATTGCTTGCAATACCATGAAAAAAAATCTTTTAAAATATGCGTTTAATTTTACATGCAGTTGAACTATTTTCGCTTTAACAACAGCTATTTGAACAAAAATTGAAAAGCGAGCATAAATATTCTGCTTGTGATGTTTGGGAAGAATATTTTTGTTTGAAAATCAGCTACGTACTCATGATTTTATTTTTAGATTGAAAATAATATACTTAGTATATTTGTTTTTCAAATCATTCATTTTAAGTTTCTAGTAATCTTATCATAGGCAAAATAAAGAAACACACTGCTTTATTATTAAAAGATCTTAAATCAAATCTTAATGTTAAAAATAAAATATTGTTCGTATTTAAGTTATTAGACAAGTGTGAACATTAATTCAGATTCAAAAGATTTCATTTCACTCTTATAAAAATTTATAAAAATCAAAATTTTTCTATATTTTGATTATCATTGTTATTATATTTTTTCTTGACAGTTATCTTTTATATTTTATTGTAATATTTTTGAATAAAATCGAGTTGCCCGACTATATTATTTCCGGACTCATCACATTTTAACTGAACAGTGATGACAGTGATAACAGTGATGCCCACAAAAATACATTTACATGTTAGACTTCCATTTGTGTTCCACAATAATGTTTACAGTCGATTTACAGTTTTTACAGTTTTAATTTGCAGGCAGAGGCAGGGCAGACAAATTTTTAACCACATGTCGTAGAATTTTGGGCACCACTGCACAGTGGTTGATCTTGTACCACAAGGCGGCCAAAAATAATTCCAGTTGGAATATGGAGCTCAAAATTTCTGTACTGCTATATAGACCCAATAACATGAAGAAAATTACTAAACAAAGGCAAAAACCATGAGTTAAAGCCCTAAAATATTAAAAAATAACATAAAAGTAAGTTATTCTCACAAATCCAAAACACTTTTAGAAAGAATCGTTTTACAATTAAAGGGTAAATTCGCCGCTTGGTTATGAAAGGGTCTTGATTGAGTTAATAACAACCTATTTATAAGGGTTTATTTAGTGGCTAAACGTAAGGTTTTACGAGTTTGATCTAGTCGATACTTCTTAACGCCTTTGTTACTTGACTCCGCAGCTTCTTCTGAGAGCCGTCCAATTAAAACTAGTGCATATTGCGATAACACCTGAGGCATGAGTTAGTACTTTATGAACTGAGGAAGGCAATTACCTAGTCAACATTTTCAATTAAATGTTCAATGCCAGTTATTTTAGCCGATAAATGAGAATTATTAAAAAATGTTTTTACTGTGTTGCCATCGTTTTAATTTCCACTGCACCTGTTCTGAATATGGACTGAATATTTGGACTGAATATTTTTTCTTCTCTAAAATAGTTCTTTATTTTCTTTCTCTCTTATTTGAAATTGACTGATTTGAAGTTTATATGAAACGTTAAGAAGCGATGCATCGCTTACCCGGTAACTAGTGATGTGGTACAGGCGAAGGGCCCATGTTAGGGCCACTAAAAGAACAACTTACTTTAGACTCCATGAAAATGTTAGTGAAAAGCTACTTACGTTAGACCCCGTGTTAGGTCGAAACAATTCCGCAGACAACATTTATTGCATATGGAAATAAAAACGTAAAATGAGTTAGCAGGTTCATATATTTTGATGCAAAATAATTAATTAAGCCTGCACACCGACTGTGTAAACACTGTAAAACGAAATTATTTGAAAACCAATGCAAGTCTAACAGGTGAATGTATTTTTCTATTTTGTGTGTTTTGCTCTCAGCAGGACACTTTTAGAGCCAAAACACTTAAGGTGTTCTGTTCAAGCCCAAAAACCCACATGATCGATTTTTTCTGACATTTTGAAATGATGAACAGTTTATTCCGAACTCCTGATATAAAGAACTCTTACAAGCCCCGCTGAATCTAAAAGTCTCAGAAGATAAATTTAACAACTCCATTGATCGTAAAAATTAATATATCTTTATATAAGCTCCGAATACTACCGAAGAGTTAAGAAAATTTAACTAGCCGCCTAGTTTGCGGGACATCCCTTGGAACTCGCAGTTGTCAAATACACCTGAACGAAATGCCAATACTAAAACTCTAAAACGGAAATTTATCTAGCCGGCATTTGCTACAAACTGGTATAGATACCAGTATGTAATTGTAAAATGTAAGCTTTGCAGCTAAAAAAAAATTCACGAAAACGTTTCTAAAATGGCCAAGATAAGAAACCGCCTCTACCTTCTAGACAGCCCAAGCCAATGTCCCCTCATATTTAATTACGTAAAACTAAGTCCAAAAACAGAAAATAACACGCACATTATTACTTACACTTACGTACATGATCACTAAGTGCCTATCAAGTAAGGATTCTATCAACCAGGACTGTCCTCGTAAAGATTGCTTAAAGTAAACACCGGAGTTATGTAGATTGTATGTTTTTTTTTTGTTTTCTAGGAATAATTCCTTTACAAACCTGCTTCATAATAACGCATACATAAAATTGGCGGCGAGGATGGAGTACTAATTTCTTGTACCTTAAGCTTATTAAATTTCCCTGCTTCCGTAGTACAACGAGAGACAGGAAGAATGCACGAGAAGTAACCGTAGAGGGCTTGCCTACTTTGGGTAGGAACACAATCCTTTACCGTCGACGATTTTATTATGGATTCTTTAAGAAAATTAACTATACGATTTCTCTTAAATTTTTTAACTACTTAATGGAGAGAATATTATTTATACTCAGTGTTCCAGCATTGAACACTATTTTTTATAGAAATTCTTAAGTTAGAGTTTCAAGGGATCGGACCCATGAAATACGAGTCAAACAGATGGTTTAAAACCGATCCCCTGCAGCCTAACACAAACACATACATAAGTGGTGCGCTTATCGCACTTGAAAAAGGGTCGCATAGCATGTCAGCGTGCAGTGCGTTGATAAGTAGTTCTAAATAGATTTAAGATTTTCATGTATCGTACTTATAAGAGAACTTTACCAAATAAAATCAGTTTTCCATAAGGAGCTCATTGGAGTAAGACCTAATTATTTTGGGGCTCCTCTTAACACTCAGTGTGATACTCAGTATCACGTTCTTCAATGAAAAGAAATTTTATTTTAATAAATTGAAAAGTCTTTAATTACTTTAAATAAAGAAAATAAAAAAGTTAGGCAGAAGGGTGTTTACTTTCACGAAGTGAATTTTGGCAACCAAAATTTCTTGGAAATTCAACCGTGTTTTACGCCTTTTTTGTTTTCGGAAAACTTTTCCCAGCGGAGTAGTCAGGCTTGTACCCCTTCCATTAGCCTCTCTCCATTTCCATGTTTCACCATTCTACACTACTAGCATTTGTGTACATCGATTTACCTCATAATGATGTTGGCATTAATGTTCCAAATGCTTTATGAAAACGGATTTTAATGACCTTTGAATTCATTTGGCAGAAATCGATTGGAAATTTCTGTCATCTTTAAACTCAGTTGAAGTTCGTTTTCTATGGATTCATTTTACGACATAATTCATATCGCGTTTGTTGCGATAGATAGTAAAACTGCTTCCGCGGCATCCGGCAATGCCGAAGTTGCAGAACCGATATTTTAAGCGGATGTTGAATCTCTGTTAAGTCAGCCGGTAACCATGTGCCTAAGCTTTCTTTTCTAGTTTTACACTCGAGGGAAGCGGAGGAAAAGTGAGATAATGATTATGATTTGTACGATTAATAATTTCCTCGGAATTTATAGTGCTTATCAATGCTTGGAGTGTTTAACAGTTCTTACCAACTGTACCCACTGATAGTCCTTGCTGCCCTTGCCTTTACCGGTTTATGTCTGCTGTGAGCGAAAAACAAATAAACGATCAACAGCATCTACACGGGCGTCTTTACTGGGGAACCGCAACATTTATTTAAATTCTTTTCTTAGTGTATGGTTGGAGAACACTTGAATCAGAGTGCGGAATCAACATGAATATGTCTACTAAATCCTCTGTGAAGTGAAGGACGAGCAAGTTACAGTTGGCTTTATCGGCGCCGACTGCGTGAGCATATGCCAACCCAAGTGTGTTGCTGTAGAAGATGGCAGCGTAGGATAGATCTGTGCAGAGAGTGACGTAGAAGTCCATGCACAGAACTCGTCGTTGATCAGGACAGAAAAACTGACCAGCCTGATGGCTGGGGACAACTACCAGAGTTAATCAGGTGGCGACCAGAAAAGGATCGGAACTAATGACGTCACCGAGGCCTTGAGGGAAGCGCAGGTCCTGCAGACGGAGCTAAAGTTGTTGGAGGAAGAAGATCAGCTGTTAAAGTTGCACCAACAACTTCTACATAGGCGAAAGGTGCTCATGTGAAAGCTCCCAAGGGAGAGGCTATCGAAGACTGGTTACGCAGAGAAGATGCCTGGAGCATCTAGCACACGGTACCTGAATGTTGGTATGAATACAATTGGCGAAGTTGCCGTTGTGGAAGGAAACGGCAGTACGCAAAGAGCCCACGCTGGGCCCCCTTGGTTCTTTTCTACCACTGGGAAGGACAACTCAGCCACTAATGTCATTAAACCTGTGGGCATACATACACACTGTGCGCCAAGGATGCCGGCTGTGCACCCGCAAATGCAGAACCCTGCAGGAGTGTCGGTGGAATGCTACTCGACGGTGTGACTTGTGCTGGAGATGTTTCCAGAGCCACAAGGTGGAAAGATGCGGCGTCCCCAATCCTTGCGAAATAGATGGATGCCTAGAACGCCATCACCCCCTGTTGCATCGCGGCAGGTACGGATCCTGTCCAAGCCAGGTGTTATGCACACCGACAAAAGGGTGTGGAAATACTATTCAGTATTGCCAGTTACTTTGTATGGGAATGGGAGGAAAGTCAACACGTATGCCTTCATCGACGACGGGTCATCTCTAACCTTGATCGACGCCCCATTTGTAATATGAAAGGACAACTGCAGCCCCTATGCATGCATTAGACTTCCGAAATGCACCAGTATGAG